AATAAGAACAACAACAATGGGAAGGTGCAAGTCAAGCAAGAGGTAAGCTATGCCTCGGAAGGAGGGGAAAGCGATGAGTGCTACACCATCTCTTGTGATGAAGAGACCTCCGGTAAGTGGATTCTTGACTCCGGATGCTCTTACCATATGTGTCCAAATAGGAAGTGGTTTACTACCTATAGAAGCACTAAGGGTGGAACCGTGTTGATGGGTAATAACCATTCATGTAAAACGGTGGGGTTTGGTTCAATTAGAATCAAGATGCATGATGGAGTGGTTAGAACATTGATGGATGTTAGACATGTTCCTGATTTGCGAAAGAACCTTATATCTGTTGGTGACTTAGACTCCGGTGGTTGCAAGATTGTAACATGGAATGGAGTAAAGAAGGTTGTTCGTGGTTCTTTGATTGTGATGAAGGGTATTCGTGAAGGCAATCTCTATGCTCTTCAGGGTACTACAGTTACTGAAGATGTAGCGGTTGGAACAAGTGGAAGTGGTGGAGACCCATGTGAGTGCACTCGGCTTTGGCATAGGAGGCTTGGGCATATGTCTGAAAAAGGGCTAGATTTGCTAGCTAAGAAAGGCTTGCTAAAGAACTTGAAGAAGCCTTGCATGGACTTTTGTGAGCATTGCGTGTACGGTAAAGCATACCGAGTTCAATTCCAGCCAAGCAAACATAGAAGCAGAGGCATTCTTGACTATGTGCACACGGATGTATGGGGTCCGGCTTCTGTCACTTCCAAAGGTGGTTCCAGGTATTTTGTTACATTTGTTGATGATTATTCTAGATATGCTTGGATTTATTTTTTGAAGCATAAGAATGAGGTATTTGACACCTTCAAGAAGTGGAAAGCAATGGTTGAAAACAAAACAGGAAAGAAATTGAAGACACTGAGATCTGATAACGGTACTGAGTATACAGATGGTGCTTTCAAGGAGTTCTGTGGTAAGGAAGGCATTGTGAGACACTGGACAGTAAGAAATACACCGCAACAGAATGGGGTCGCGAAAAGACTGAATCGCACATTTCGAGAGAAATCGATGTGTATGCAATCCTATGCTGGTTTGGGCAGAGAATGGTGGGCAGAGTCGGTTGCAAATGCTTGCTACATTGTGAACCGATCTCCACATTCAAGGTTAGATGGAGATGTACCTTATAGGGTATTGACAGGAGAACATGCAGATTATGAGAAACTCAGAACATTCGGATGCACAGCCTACTATCATGTCAACGAGGGAAAGCTTGATGCGAGGGCCAAGAAGGCTATATTCTTGGGGTATGCGGCAGGTGTTAAAGGCTATCGCCTTTGGTGTTTAGAGGATTCTAAGTTCATAATCAGCAAAGATGTTACCTTTGATGAGAACTCCATGGTAGCTTCGTTGAAAGCTACAGTGCCCGGTGGTGATGATGTTGAGACTACAATGTCTCAATTTGTTGACATAGAACCTAGAGATCAACCTGATTCTAGGCATGTTCAAGAGGAGCATCAAAGAGACACTCAAGATGAGAGTGATGATTCACTTGAACAAGAGGCGGTTCAGCAAGAGAATGTACAGGCACAGCAACAACAGCCTTGCAGATAACTTGGCTTCCTCTAGGCCACGCCGTACTTACAAGCAAGTTCTAAAGTTGGGGTCAGATGAGCCTTTGAGGCACTATGGGCAGACAAATTTGGTTGAGTATGCACTCTCGGTGGAGGATGATGAGCCCACCACTTTCAAGGAAGCTATTTTAAACAACAATAGCGAGAGTTGGTTGGCGGCAATGGAAGAAGAGATGGAATCACTTCACAAGAACCAAACACGGGAGGTTGTCCCATTGCCCATAGGTAAGAAAGCTATTGGTTGCAAGTGGTTGTATAAAAAGAAGGAGGATCCTACCAAGCTCGGTGGTACAAGATTCAAAGCGAGGTTAGTGGCTAAGGGGTTTGCACAAAGAGAGGGAGTTGACTACAATGAGATCTTTTCTCCTGTGGTCAAGCACACTTCCATTCGGGTGCTATTGAGTATTGTTGCTCATCATGATCTTGAGCTGGAACAACTCGATGTCAAAATCGCCTTCTTGCACGGGTCTTGGATGAGGAGATCTATATGCATCAACCTGATGGCTACAAGGTTGAGGATAAGGAACGTCAGGTATGTCGCTTGAGAAAATCACTATATGGATTGAAGCAATCTCCTCGGCAGTGGTACAAGCGATTTGACTCCTTCATGCTAAAGCATGGTTTCTCCAGAAGTGAGTATGACTGTTGTGTTTATATTTGAAAACTTCGGGGAGGTAACTATATCTATCTTCTTCTATATGTGGATGACATGCTTATCGCTTCGAAAAGCAAAGTGGAGATAGATAAGTTGAAATCTCAACTTAGTAAAGAGTTTGAGATGAAGGATATGGGGGCTGCTAGGAAAATACT